AGATTTTTAATGCCAGAAAAATCAATCATTCAATACATTCCACAAACTCTTCTCCAGTGGCACCACTGTGTATGCTTATTGCCTCTACTATCCTTGGCCTCTTCTGTCCAGTCTGGCCATAGCACACCCTGATCAAGTCCCTGATCAAGTCCTATGCTAAGTCCTTCTCAGTCATATACCTTTTTAAAACCCAGGAAGAATTCATCTCCCCTATTCTTTCAACCACAGCAATGTAGTTCTAGTTTTCTTTTCATTAGCATGACAGCTCCATGATCTTTACAGACTCTTGAAAAATAGAAAAGTTCACCTATGTCAACATTTGTTTAGTTTTCTTTTTTTTTTTTTTGAGACGGAGTTTTGCTCTTGTTACCCAGGCTGGAGTACAATGGCACGATCTCGGCTCACCGCAACCTCCGCCTCCTGGGTTCAGGCAATTCTCCTGCCTCAGACTCCTGGGTAGCTGGGACTACAGGCACGCGCCACCATGCCCAGCTAATTTTTTGTATTTTTAGTAGAGACAGGGTTTCACCATGTTGACCAGGATGGTCTCGATCTCTTGACCTTGTGATCCACCTGCCTCGGCCTCCCAAAGTGCTGGGATTACAGGCTTGAGCCACCGCACCCGGCCTTGTTTAGTTTTCAATGCTTCAAAATAAAATTTAGATTTGTTAAATGTGTGACATAGTATAAAAGTATGGACTTTTTATGACTTATTATAAAAGTAATCCTCAGCCTGGAATGCTGTTTAAAAAAAAAAAAAAAAAGTTATCCATGGTGGGGTGCAGTAGGTCATGCCTATAATCCCAGCCCTCTGGGAGGCCAAGGTGGGTGGATCACTTGAGGTCAGGAGTTTGAAACCACCCTGGCCAACATGGCGAAACCTTGTCTCTACTAAAAATACAAAAATTAGCTAGGCATGGTGGCGGGTGCCTACAATTCCAGCTACTCAGGAAGCTGAAGCAGAAGAATCGCTTGAACCTGGGAGCCACGATCACACCACACCACTGCACTCTGGCCTGGGCAACAGAGTGAGAATTCATTTCAAAAAAAAAAAAAAGTAATCCACAGAGATTTTTTTTGTAAAAACAGAGTCTTGCTTGTTACTCGGGCTAGTCTCAAATTCCTGGCCTCAAGTGATCATCCCACCTTGTCCTCCCAGGGTGCTGCAATTACAGGTTTGAGACAGTGCTCTTGGCCCAGAGATTATATTTTAAAACTTAGGCCAAGCACGATGGCTCACACCTGTAATCCCAGCACTTTGGGAGGCTGAGGTGGGCGGATCAATTGAGGTCAGATGTTCAAGATCAGCCTGGCCAATATGGTGAAACCCTGTCTCTACTAAAAAAAAAAAAAAAAAAAAATACAAAAATTAGCCAGACATGGTGGCCTGCCCCCATGATCCCAGCTCCAAGGAAGGCTGAGGTAGGAGAATCTCCTGAACCCAGGAAGCGGAAGTTGCAGTGAGCTGAGACCAACCAATTTAAAAAAAAATTTTTTTTAATACATATTAAAATAAATCAGTTTTCTTTTATGAAGTACTGATTTTTATTTTTATTTTTTTAAGAGTAAGGATCTTGCTCTGTCACCCCGGCTGGAGTATAGTAGAACGATCATGGCTCACTGCAGCCTCAAACTCCTAGACTCAGGTAATCCGCCTCAGCCTCCTGAGCAGGTGAGATTATAGGCAAGAGCCACTGCAGCCAGCTAAAGTACTAATTTTTAATGGTATATAGTATTCATACCATGAAATGAAAAGTAGGTGAAATTATGAAGCATCTTCCTGGATTCAACAGGATTAGTTACAGGATTCAACACAGACAGAGTTCTCTGTTGAGTCCTTTTTTATCATGCCCTTGGGGATGAGAAAAAGGGTCATCACTCTCAGACACTGGATTGGGCCCTCTTACTCTCTTTCTCCCAGCACAGATTAGCTGGACAGGCAGGGAATAAGAGCTTTCTTTATCCACAATACTTTGATACAAACAGCCTTCCACAGGCTGCATATCGGGGCCTCTAACTCTCTGTGGTCTAGCTGGCCCAGAGTCCTTCATCTAGGATATTCTTCAACTACCCAAACTCAACCAAGCTGTTCAGGTCTGACCATAAAGTCATCCCTGACACTCCAGCTCATCTTTCATCACGGGCTTCTCCAATTCCTATAAACACCCCTATCACTTTTCTATTTTACACTCCGAACTGCATCTTTTTCTCTTTTGAGACAAGGTCTCAGGGTCTCTGTTACCCAGGCTGAAGTACAGTAGCACAACCATGACTTACTGCTGCCTCAACCTCCCAGGTTCAAGTGATCCTCCACCTCAACCTCCCGAGTAGCTAGGACCACAGATTGCACACCACCACAACAGGCTAATTTAAAATTTTTTCTATACAGAAAATGTCCCACTATGTTGCCCAACCTGGTTTCAAATTCCTGAGCTCAAGCAATACTCCTGCCTTGGCTTCCCAAAGTGCTAAGACTGCAGGTGTGAGCCACTGCATCTGGCCAAAATTGTACCTTGCCAGCAGACTGAAGCTCAGATTCTGTATTCTACACATCTTAAACTCCTCAGTTTGTAGTATTCTTTATAGATAACACAATACAATTACTTTTGTAGCCAAAAATAATAATTCTCTTTTGAAAGAAAAAAAAAAATCACCCATAGTGCCTGGCAGAAGGATGCTCGTCCCCAGCTAGCTCCTTATAAAATAGTTGCTGAACCTATTTAAAAAAAAAAAAAAAACCACAGAAGTACAATTTTTATGTAAAGAAACTCTCTGGATTTTTTTTTCCTAACTCATTTTGGCAATAAAATCTAAAAGTTTTGTCTTACTTAAAGGCAGACTACCCAAATGCAAAGCCTCCTAGGAAGAAATCAGTAACACAGTGGTAAGTGTAAAAGCTCTGAGTCAGGGCTCAGCCCACTTGGTTAATGATGGCTGAATATAAGTCTAGCAATTAAATCATTTCTGCAAAGAGGAAGCAAATAAAAATATTAAATAATCAAACATGCCAGACATGGTCGCTCGTGCATGTAATCCCAACACTTTGGGAGGCCAAGGAGGATCACTTGAGCTAGGAATTCCAGACCAGTCTGGGCAACATAATAAAACTTCATCTCTACAAAAATAAAAAACATACATTAGGAGGGTATGTGTAGTCCCAGCTACTCAGGAGGCTGAGGTGAGAGGATCACTTGTGCCAGAAGGTTGGGGCTGCTGTGAGCTATGAACATGCCACTACACTCCAGCCTGAGTGGCAGACCCAGACCCTCTCAACAAACAAACAAATTTCCAAGTATGAGCACAATGTAACTTCTTTGTTTTTTGAGTTTTTTTTTTTTTTTTTGCGTAACTTCTCTTAATGTATATTTTATTAGGACTCCTAAATATTCAAAGAAAAATCATGGTTAGGTATAGTGGCTCACACCTGTAATCCCAGTACTTTGGAAGGCCAATAAATAAATAAATTTATTTATTTTGCTATGCCTCTACTCTAAATAAATTAGCCAGGCATGGTGGTGCATGCCTGTAATCCTAGCTACTAGGGAGGCTGTGGAAGGAGGATCGCTTGATCTTAGGAGGTCAAGGCTACAGTGAGGCATGATAGCGTCACTGCACTCCAGCCTGGGTAACAGAGCAAGACCCTGTCTCAAAAAAAAAAAAAAAAGGAAAAAAAAATCACTATCCTTCCTCCTTTTAAGAAAAGCATAAGCACTATGTCAAGTTCATATCCATTTACATTCATCATTGCTAAGCTGCTCTCATAGAACACATCAGAAATATGTTAAATAACCAAGACAAAGAAAAGATTTTCTAAGCAGTTCTTTAAAAGGACTTCACTGTTTTATGAACAAAGAGATCAACTAACTGTATACAAAGAAAGTCTATTTAAGGAATCATTTCTTTTTTATGTTCTTTTTTCTTTTTCTTTGGAACCATGGTCTCATTCTGTTACGCAGGCTGGAGTGCAGAGATGCAAACATGGCTCAACTCATCCTACACATCTCCGGCTCAAGTGATCCTCCCACCTAGGCCTCCCAAAGTGCTGAACAGTCTTAACTATCCATGTATTCCCAAGGTCTTACACGGACACTCTAAAAATGTGCGCTGAAGAAATGAATAAACAATTATATTCCTGAACAAGGGCCCTTCCTCTTTGTACTAGGTTATGAAGAAAGACAGAGGCTGCTTCACACGCAGCACACACTAGATATGCAGCACTATTTTTATTGAGAAATGAGAAAGCAGAAGCAAAGAAGTAGGATGGGAGCAAGGAGTTAAAAGAATGGAGACTGCAATATGAATTCACACCAGAATTCACACCTTGAGAAGAAGGCAAAAAAGAACGTAATGGAAGAAATGACTAACTGGTATTAGGCAGACAAAAGGAGAAGCAGGGGAAAAAAGCTTCCAGGAAAGATTTCAAGAAATGAAGAGCAGAAACGTCCAGTCCAATGCACCCATCGTGATCTTAGAGCAACGCAATACTGAACAGTGACCAAGACGTGTTACAAAAGGACTCCCCAGCCACCTTGGGATCTACTGGAAGACCTTTGTCATGGTTATCGCTGCTGGCATTGCTACCTATGTCTTACTCCCTTCTCTAGAGCCTGTAGGAAGGTGCAGTCTTCAGAGACGTCCTTCCATATGCTCCTCTGGGGCATTTTATAGACAGGCTACCAGTGTCTGCCCACTGAGAATCTCCAATGTCAATCATCTCTCCATCCAACCTGGTGAGCTCAAGGATCTGAGAAAATGTGAAGCAGCTCCCCCTTGCCAAGAGATGTAGGACTTCTAGCAGACAAGTTCAACAAACAAACCTAACACCTTAGGAAAAGCTTCATCCTTTCTTTATTAAAACAGCTTTAAGGCACAGGGAAATCGAACTCACACAATCCTACTGGTAGTCCTTTTTCTCCCTGGGTAATAACAGACCCATGAGGAGCAGCTTTAACTTTCCTACGCACTGTGATGTCGTTTGATGTATGTTCTGTATCATTTGGCCTTTTTTTTTTTTTTTTTTTGAAATTAAAGGTCTCACATATTTATTACCGAACCCAGCCAACCAACACGTTTATAACAGATCGAGAGAGGAAACTCTGTTCAAAATTCTCCAGATAGGGGTGACATTTTCAGCTTGATTTGGTAACATGATTGTGACCTTCAGACAGCATAAATATGTGTGCCATCTCATGTGTCATTTCTTATAAACCCAGCTTGGTTCTTCTCCAATGTCTCCTTTTGGAGTTGTACCTGATTTTATTACCAGTTTTCATCCGAATCCACTGGGGAATGGAATGATTTTGCTTTTGTTTCTTGGCCAGGAATCGCTTAATCCTGAAAGTCCTGTGAGAAGACATGGCGAGAAACGGAGTAAAGCACATACCACGATGGCAGAGAAATGAAGAGAGGGGTCATTTGGCCTTTCTAAGAGTATACCCTGTCTCTCAATTCTCCTCACAGAGGCTCTAAAAAAGGAAAGAATTGGGGAACGGGGATAATCTCACTGGAAATACTTTAGGAGGGCCAACGTTGAACAGTAAGAGAGAGGAATGTCATATTACCCAATTTGGAATAAAATCTTACTCAAGAAGTTACACTCCGGTCGGGCACGGTGGCTCACGCCTGTAATCTCAGCACTTTGGGAGGCCGAGGCGGGTGGATCACGAGGTCAAGAGATCGAGACCATCCTGGTCAACAAGGTGAAACCTCGTCTCTACTAAAACTACAAAAATTAGCTGGGCATGATGGTGCGTGCCTGTAGTCCCAGCTACTCGGGAGGCTGAGGCAGGAGAATTGCCTGAACCCAGGAGGCGGAGGTTGCAGTGAGCCGAGATTGTGCCATTGCACTCCAGTCTGGGCAACAAGAGCGAAACTCCGTCTCAAAAAAAAAAAAAAAAAAAAAAAAGAAGTTACACTCTTCTATACAGTTTATAATAAAGTATTAAGTAAAGGATTCAGTCCGTCTAAAAATATAAATGTAGGCTGGAAGTGGTGGCTCACACCTATAATCCCAGCCCTTTGGGAGGCTGAGGCTGGAGGATCGCTTGAGCTCAGGAGTTCAAGACCAGCCTGTGTAAGACCCCATCTACACGCACGCACGCACACACACACACACACACACACAAACAAAATTCGCTGGGCATGATGGCATGTACCTGTATTTCCATCTACTTGGGAGGCTGAGATGGGAGGATCACTTGAGCCAGGAAGGTGGAAGCTGCAGTGACCTGAGATCACACCACTGCATTCCAGCCTGGGTGACAGAGCAAGACCCTGTCTCCAAAAAAAAAAATCCTTCGAAACAAGATCTTGGTCCTATGAACAAAGATTAGCAGACATATACACAAACACACACACACACACACACACACACACACACACACACACACTTACTTTATACATTATATTATGTAAAATATATAATTAATAATTATATTAATTATATATTTGCAAGGAGGAAGCAAATGAAAATATTAAATAATCAAACACGTCAGATGTGATGGCTCATGCCCGTAATCCCCAACACTTTGGGAGGCCAAGTAGGGAGGACCCCTTGAGCCAGGAGTTCCAAACCAGTCTGGGCCAACAAAATGAGACCTCATCTCTACAAAAAATAAAAAATATATATTAGCAGGGTACGGTGGCACACACCTGTAGTGTGTAAATAATAATATGTATATGTATTATTTATTAGCAAATAAATCTTTTATATGTATATAAACATATATTTATTTGCTAATCTTTGTAGGGCCAAGATCTTGTTTTGAGTATGAGTCTATTGTTGAACTGTAAGTTATCTTCGTTCATATGCCACACCCATTATGAAGGGCCTATGTTTTCCAGTCCTACTTTCTATAAAGAACAAAAACCTAAAAACATTCATGAAGTAATCTATGTGCAGAGTCCTTCTAGACTTTTAAGATCCCCTCTCCAATCTTCTCCAGTTTGCTTGTCCATATAAGTGAGCAGTAATTTCTCTTCTTTTTTTTTTTTGAGACAGACCCTCACTCCGTCACCTAGGCTGGAGTGGCATGATCTTGGATCACTGCAACCCTGCCTCCCAGGTTCAGGCGATTCTTGTGCCTCAGCCTCCAGAGTGGCTGGGACTACAGGTGCATGCCACTGTGCCTGGCTAATTTTGTATTTTTAGTAAAGACAAGGTTTCACCATGTTGCTTAGGTTGGTCTTGAACTCCTGGGCTCACATGATCTGCCTGCCTTGGTCTCCCAAAGTGCTGGGATTACAGGCATGAGCCACCTTACCCAGCCTTGTTCTTTTTTGAACTCAAATTTCACTGGTTAATTAAGTTGCACAATTACAATAACAAGTACAATGAACATAAACAGATACATGAATAAAGGTAACTAACTGTAAGCATTCAATTCAGCAGCTGGGAGGCTACCTGGTTGGGGTACACCAGACCAGCAGCCTGCTGAGTAACAGCCAAACATTCAGTGTACCAAGCTGGTTAAAGCGGCGGTTGGCTAAGAGGCTGTCCACTGTATATCAGGTTCAAAGTACTGTAATAAATGTTAGTTACCACAAATACCCAATTTAAAGATTTTATCAGCATATCAACAACAATCAGGAGAACTTGTTAAGTGGGAGATATTTTTGTTAATTTTTGTTTATCAACAGGAAAAGAAGCCAGAAAGAAAAAAGAGAATCATTTTCATCATGTTGCTGGGAATTTGTTCTTCCATATCTCCCATTTGACTCTAAGTTTCCTGCATGTCTGTCTCCTTTATAACTGTATCATAAAACTTGGCACTCGGCCGGGCGCGGTGGCTCAAGCCTGTAATCCCAGTACTTTGGGAGGCCGAGGCGGGTGGATCACGAGGTCAAGAGATCGAGACCATCCCGGTCAACATGGTGAAACCCCGTCTCTACTAAAAATACAAAAAATCAGCTGGGCATGATGGCGCATGCCTGTAATCCCAGCTACTCAGGAGGCTGAGGCAGGAGAACTGCCTGAACCCAGGACGCAGGGGTTGCAGTGAGCCGAGATTGCGCCACTGCACTCCAGCCTGGGTAACAAGAGTGAAACTCCATCTCAAAAAAAAAAAAAAAAAAAAAAAATTGGCACCAATGAGTGTTCAATAAACTTGCTATGTTAACACATCCTACTTGGGAGGCTGGATAAGAATTTCAGCCTCTCATTGCTGGTCTATAAAGTTTTCTGGGGCTGGGAGGGAAAAGAAAAAACCTAGAATAATAGAAGGTTTGGCTATTCATGATCTATTAACCTTCTTATATAGTCATGTACCACATAACATTTCAGTCAACTACAGACCACATATATAAGAGTGGTCCCGAGAGATTATAATGGAGCTGAGAAATTCCTATCCCATTGTAGCTACGATGTCACAACACAACACAATCAAACCTACTGTGCTGCTGGTCATATACAAGTCTAACACAGATGAGCACAGTGGCTCATGCCTGTAATCCCGGCACTTTGGGATTACAAATCTGCTGGGGAGGCAGACTGCTTTAGTCCAGGAGTTCAAGACCAGCCTGGGCAACATGCCAAAATCCTGTACCTACAAAAAAAAAAAAAACAAAATCAGCCAAGCATGGTGGCACGTGCCTGGAGTTCTAGATACTTGGGAGGTTGAGGTGGGAAAATCACTTGAGACCAGCAGGTCAAGGCTGCTTAAGCCCTGATCACACCACTGTACCCCAGCCTGGGCAACAGAGTAAGACCCTGTCTCAAAACAAAAAAAAAGTCCAGCATATACAATTATGTACAGTACATAATACTTGATAGTAAATGACTGTTACAAGTTTATGTATTTACTGTACTTTTTATTGTTATGTTAGAGTGTATTGTTTCTACTTATTTATTTATTTGTGTTTTGAGATGGAATCTCACTCTGTCGCCCAGCCTGGAGTGCAGTGACACAATATCAGCTCACCGTAACCTCCACCTCGTGGGTTCAAGCGGTTCTCTTGCCTCAGCCTCCTGAGTAGCTGGGATTACAAGCATGCACCACCATGCCAGACTAATTTTATATTTTTAGTAGAGACGGGGTTTAACCATATCGGCCAGGCTGGTCTTGAACTGCTGACTTCAGGTGATCAGCCCACCTCGGCCTCCCAAAGTGCTGGGATTACAGGTGTGAGCCACCCTGCCCACACTCTTTCTACTTATTTTTAAAAACAAAGTTAATTGTGGCCAGGTGCTGTGACTCACGCCTGTAATCCCAGTACTTTGGGAGGCTGAAGCAGGTGGATCACCTGAGATCGAGAGTTTGAGACCAGCCTGACCAACATGGGGAAACCCTGTCTCTACTAAAAATATAAAATTAGTCTGGCATGGTAGTGCATGCCTGTAATCTCAGCTACTCAAGAGGCTGAGACAAGAGAATTGCTTGAACCGGGGAGGCGGAGGTTGCAGTGAGCTGAGATCAGGCCATTGCACTCCAGCCTGGGCAACAAGAGCAAAAAACTCCATCTCAAAAATACAAAAACAAAATAAAGTTAAATGTAAAACAGTCTCAGAAGAAGGAACTGTTATCATAGGAGATGACAGCTCCATGCTTATTATTCTCCTGAAGACCTCCCAGTGGGAAAAGATTCGGAGGTGGAAAACAGTGATAGTAATACTGATGATCCTGACCCTGTGTAGGCCTAGGTTAATGTGTGTTTGTGTCTTTGTTGTCAACGAAAGAAAAAGCTTTAAAAGTAAAAGATGGGTAAGCAGAGGAACAAAAAGTAAAACAAATAGTGTAATAAAACATGATATCTTAAAATGAAGTTTCTAGAATAAAGATATAACAAAACATTAGCCAGTACCAGAAGAAGAAACAGCTCATGAGGCTACGGAAACAAGCTGAGAAGAACGTGGAGAAGAAAACTGACAAATATGGCCGGGCGCGGTGGCTCACGCCTGTAATCCCAGCACTTTGGGAGGCTGAGGTGGGTGGATCACCTGAGGTCAGGAGTTCAAGACCAGCCTGGCCATCATGGT